GGTTCAGCCCATTTTGATTATGGCTAGCCCATTTTGGCAAACTCGGACTGGCTCATGGTGAAAAATGTAATGGTTAAAATAGTATTGTATGGCTTTGACCTGTGATGGGAACTTTTAGAAGGGGAAAGCCTTTAGCTCTTTTTCCTGCTCCCCTGGCAGAATGCGCTTGCTTTTCCATTGCAGCGCACCATCTACTCCCCAAATCTGGTATGTGGGATTATGGAACAGGAAAAGCTGCAGTGCAGAGAAATTTAAGGAAACTGGGTGATGCCTGGGCTGACCTGTGAGTCAATGACTAATGAAAGAGAGGAATGCTAACCGTCTCTGCCCTGAGCACAGTCCGTCAGGGAATATCTATTTAGTTCTGTGGATATGCTCGGAAGGATTCCTTTCCAGTTTGAGTTTGGCAGTAGTCTTTAAACAGTGACTGTTTGTGTGGTGGTGGTGGTAGTGGACAAAACTGTTCCAGAGCCATATTTAATCTTCTTGTTTTATAGTCTCTGTGCCTTTTCAGTGCAGAGGTTAAAGCCTGAAGGAGGGAGGACAATAAACATTTTGATGTCTTTCAGCTCTCAATACGTATTGTCTCTTAATCAAATAGTAATTGAATAATGCAATGAAATAGAGATACTTTACTTATAAGAGAAACAATTGGCTTAAAAATAGACTTTTGTCTTTTTTCTAGGTGACTTACTGATGGCTTCCTGATTCTTTTTCCTTATTTTTGAAATTGACAAAACACATTGTCTGATTATTGTTTTCATTTAAAATATCGTGCCCTGCAGCCATTTAAAGTCTAGTTATAAAGTGTCATAAGTTCAGATTGAACTTAGATTTCTTTTGAAAATAGCTTACTTTTAAAAGTATGTTTTAAAAAAATCAGACTTCAACAATGACCGGCTTATGCTATGATTCAGTACTCAAACGGCACAATCTTCTAAGCAACATGTAGTAATACGAATAAGTGGTGGAGCAGCTACCTTTTTGCCTGTGTTAACACAAACCTGAATAAAACTTGCTTGACTTACCGTTCCATCAATGCTGTTAAGATTGCTCTTAATGACACTATAAGGGAAAAACAGAAGCAAATGTGGCAACCCTTATACAGGCAACTCTGACAATTGCCAATACCTTATTCCTTTGTGTGTGTGTGGCTGATAGAGTTCTTTAAGAAGTTCATATATGTATATTTTAATTTTTTTAATTATAGTCATTCAAAGTTTTCCAGGTTGCTCTGAATAAATGCTATAGGTGTTAAACTGCTGAAAAATAATGGTAAGCTCTAAGTCAAGGTGGTTGAACTTCTGTAACTCAACAGTTTACTTCACTTAGGCTTGCTGATGGTTCCCAGACCGTACAGTCACGTTAGCAGAGACCATTACCTGGAAAACCAAATGGATTTTAGTTCCAGTGACTACTAAAGGCTGCTTTCTTGTAATCAAGTTTGGAAATACAAGATGTATTTAAGCAGTTCTTTTGTGTTTAAAATAAGACTCTAAGGCAGCTTTGAGTGTGCAGAATGAATCCTTGTATTGAAACATTTTTGAACTTTAGTAAAATGCTATTCCTCCTGCCTCCTCTTTAGCAAACTTCTGTCTCCATTCTGTCTTCAGCCTTGAAGCCTCCAAGATTGTTGTTCTTCGGAACTACATGTGGGTTTTTTTTCATGGCCTGAAAACTATCGGTACCCTTTCCAATATTCATTTCTTCTTTGAAATATGTTGGAAGAGCCTTGCTCATCATTAAAGTATTTAGAGATATTTTTATTTTTAATTTTTGCAAATTAGAAAGAGGAAAGGGCAAAGTTGTGAGAATTGAATCATCAGTTTTGAGTCCTTTTACCACAGAGGAAGTAAATGAAGAAAAGAGCATATTATGTCTTTCTTCTAACATCTGCAAGAAGATTATCTTCACTGTCCTATTGTTTTGTAATACTAGACTGCCAGAGATTTTTTTTTTAACAATACTATGTATATTTTTTTTTTATTTTTTTTTAAACAGTCTGTCAGGAAAGGTTGTTATAACAGAATTCTTTGGATTCTTTTAAACAGTAGTCTAACACTGTCTGTTTTTCCCCTGCATATGCCTACTTTTTCTACTTATTTTTGTCCCCTCTTTCTACCTGATCTAAAAAGACTCTGCTCTTCTGCTCTGGCAACTCTGTTATGGATTTTCTTCTTCCTTTGCCAAGAACATGGTGGACCAGGAAGATATTCATGAATACAACCCAAACTGAGTTTGAATACCAGCCAGTGAAAGGGAGAAACTTGGGTTAGTCTGTAAGTACAGAATATAAATATGAGCGTAAATCACTGCCTATGGTTTACTCCATAATTGTCCTTTTTCTTGAATGTAGCGTCTATCTTCTACTAGTTGCTCTTGTAAACAAGTACTCGTCTTGCTAAAGTTTTGTTCTGTCTTAGTCTGGCAGTTTTTAAGTTCACATGTCTTTCCTCTAATGCACATATACAAGTAAAAATTCTGTAACCTAAGCAAACTAGACAAAAATTCAACTTTAGAATATGTTTGTAAGCGAAGAAGTTTTCCATTGCCATAGATGACAGATCTGAAATCAACTGCCATTAATAAAAGGTGGAAACTGCTGTTTGTATGAGATACCGATGCTTTCATCTTATTATTTTCATCCTCAAATCAAAGTTAATTAACACTTGTGTGACTGTTTCTTATTTGTGCTTATTCAGTTACTGTATAAAATACCATTTGATTACAGAGTAACGCAGATAAGCTGTGCCTTTTTTTCGCAATTAGTGTTGAACCATTCACGCTTCAGTGGCTTTCAAAAACAGTCATTTCAATGGGGATTTTTTTTTTTTTAATTAAGTAGCGTGATATTGTTTCATCCAATGCTTTTCTCATTCATTGCTAAGTAAGACTCTGTATTCTGATGTGAAGGTGAGAAAGAGCAATGTAATGCCTGACTGGAATTCCTTTTCTTTTCCTCCTTGAAAATAACTCAAACAGAATGTTGCAAAAGTAGAGTCATCTTCTTCCAGACAATAGTTGACAACATGGCTGTTTTGAAAACAACAGAAGGGTATTTCTGTGTTTGAACTTTGAAAGCCCTTTAAACTTAACTGAATTTAAAGAAGAGATGGACAGTCTAGCTATGTGGCGTGGTTTATTAGAGTTGAAAGCAGAGAGGATTTTGTACCATTTATGTATTGGGAAAGGTTATTAATTACTGATGCTGGTTTTTATGGGGCTAAAAGTATTACTGGATTTAAGGCCAGGAAAAGTTCTTTCCTTTGAATGTGTTGGCAGGATGCAGTAGTAGGGGAACTGATACAAGGAAATACATTTCAACATTTGTTAGGGCTGTATTACATAGCAAAACTTCTAAAAGTCCCAAGCAAGAGATTGTTTTATTAAAATCACTTTCTGTATGAAAAGACCTAGGTTATTTATATATAAATAGATGTAAAAAACAAAAACAAACAAACAAACCAAAAAACAAACCACTTTAATTCATCCTTAGACCACCCACTTGCAGCCAGAAAAACACCAGTTTGGTGTTTGTGATAGATCTTGTCACCTTTTAGTAATTTGTTATAAGTCTTGTAGATCGAATGTGATATTTTAGAGGAATTCTTTGCTGTGAACCACGTTTTGCTTTGGAATAGGTGCCCTAGAATTTTAAATATTACCCCTCCAAAAGTGAGCGTGTTCACAGACTTTTTATGCAAATTTTACTTCTAGTGCCTGTTTGTAAATTCTTTGCTCTCAAGTGATTTGCTTTTTTGTCAGTAAGCGGATCAGTATCTTCTAACTTCACACATGTATCAAAAGAACCACCATTCTAATTGGCTGTGCCGCTGTATTTGAAATTCTATGAAGGATTAACTACAGAGAAGCATATAAATTCTGGGGGTTTTTTGTTGGTTTTGTTTGGTTTTGGTTTTGCCTCCCCTGTGCCTGGAAAAATAACATTGCAGCATTTGGAAGATCACTATATTCTATAAGCTGGGCTTTCCAGCAGATTGAGGGAGTTGATCTTTCCCTTCTGCTCAGCACTGGTGAGGCCTCACCTGGAGTACTGTGTCCAGTTCCAGGCTCCTCAGTACAAGAGAGACATGGACATACTGGAGAGAGTCCAGCGGTGGGTCACAAGGTTGATTAAGGGACTGGAGCATCTCACGTATGAGAAAAGGCTGGGAGAACTGGGACTGTTCAGTCTGCAGAAGACAAGGCTCAGAGGGGATCTTGTTAATGTATATAAATACCTGAAGGGAGGGTGCAAAGAGAACAGAGCCAGGCTCGTCTCAGTTGTGCCCAGTGACTGGTCCAGAGGCAGTGGGCACAAACTGAAACACAGGAGGTTCCCTCTGAACATCAGGAAACACTTTTTCACTGTAAGGGTGACTGAACACTGGCACAGGCTGCCCAGGGAGGTTGTGGTGTCTCCATCCTTGCAGATACTCAAAAGCCATCTGGACATGGTCCTGGGCCACTGGCTCTAGGTGGCCCTGCTTGAGCAGGACGTTGGAACCTCCAGAAGTGTCTTCCAACCTTGACCATTCTGTCATTCTGTGACTTCAGTTCAGAAATTGCAATGTTGGAATTTGTGATCTATTCAAAATACAGCTTCCTCTTAGTTTTTATTGTGCAAATGATGGTGGTCCCTTAATAAGTGGTTGTTATTGAGCCTTGAATGTTAGGCTAATTTTTTGTGCAGTCTTTGGATGTTTGGTGATGTTCTTAAGAGGATACACTGCTATGAGTTATATTTTTTCATTGTACTTTTCTTTCTAAAACTAGATTTTTTTAATGAAGTAATCATATTAGTAACCATTCCTATATGAAGACTTCCAGTACTGACTTTTCCTAAAACTGTAGCCTCAAGAGAAAATGAGGCTTTGTGGATTTTTTTTTTTTCTGTCCTGAAGTCACAAGTAGTCTGTGTAAGCTATTGAAATAAGACAAACAAGCAGATGCTTTCTTCAGTAGGGAAAAGCGATTAACCAGAATTATAATTATTGCTGTTTCCACTAATTTATTCTTGTCTTTTTTGTGTATATGCAGAGCACAAAGTAATCATAGTGGGACTTGATAATGCTGGAAAGACTACTATTCTTTACCAATTGTAAGTATATGAACTATTTTGTGCTTCTGTTTACATTTAAGTATTTGTCACTGTTCAATCATTGAAAATTCAGCTTTGCAACCTGGTGGAATCTCTAGGGTTCTAGATCACAGTTTGTACATAAATAGTATTAGTTGTTCTAAACAGAGTAAATATTTAAAGGACAAGTGAAGGAACTGCAGTGTTTTAAAAGTGAACTGTAAATTAAATAACAAAATTGTACATACAAGCACAAAGCGAACTGCAAATTCTTTTCCCATCAAAGCCTATCTTTATTTGTAAGCATAGAAATAATCCTGTTGCCAAGAACTGCAGAGAAGAAAGTGATTTCTAAATTACTGGAAATTCTAGCCACTGTGCAAAAATCCATAAATGTTTCCAAATGTTTCCTGATTCCAGTGTCTAAAATTTGTGATGGAGGATTCCTCAAAATAGTATTTCATCTTGCCTAGGTCCTACCTGAAGCATTTTCAATAACATCATTGCACCCAAATCTTACCAGCATTACAAGAATATCTATGATAAATTCAAGAATATTGTCAGGAACATAATTACTGTTGTAACTGTGGAAAAGGAGAAGGGTGTAGCCAAATTACTATGCATATATTTGGATACGAAGGCAGGAGAGGATGTTTTCCAAAAACCTTTTTCCTAAGCACTTTTGACAAAGCTTAAAGGTAGAACTGAGAAAGTTGCAGCTATGTAAACAAACAGTGGTTAGGAATTTGTTTTAATATTGAGTTACTAAGTTGAGTGCTCTGATAAAATTATATTCTGATTTATATTTTGCACAGTTTAGTGTTCCCCTTATTTGGGATCTTTAGAATAGCAGCTTCTACTTTGAAACAAGTGCATTTTAAGTATCTGTTGAAGAGCATCCTTTAAAAAGAGAAGCCTCTTAAAATGCAGATACTTATCCATTTGTTATAAGCCTTTTATGGTGCTTATTTTTCATTACTGATGTCTTTAAGCATGTCTACAGCCTCTGCTACAAAAGCACACTAGAACTTGGTCAGCCACAGTTTTTAGTCCAAATTCAGATTGAACTAATCTTTTCACTAAAGAACTGCTCTTGAATATTTGCTTTATTTCTATAAAAATTCAAATGTATAGTTTTTTAAACTATGCCTAGTTTTTTAATCTTTTTTTATCAGAGTTACGTTTTCAACAACAAATTTGTTGTAATTGAGCTGTGATGAGCCTTGTGGGTTTTACTGACTGGTCTTTATGGTGTGATATTTTTTCCTTTAGCTTAATGAATGAAGTGGTTCATACTTCTCCAACCATAGGAAGCAATGTAGAAGAAATAGTGGTGAAAAACACTCATTTCTTAATGTGGGATATTGGAGGACAAGAATCATTACGGTCATCGTGGAATACCTATTATTCAAACACAGAGGTATCAGAAGCTGCTTTGAAATCTGCAAATTAAATGTTTGTTTGAAATTCTATTTAATTATTAGGTATATTGGTAGATTTTTATAAAGATTGCAGCTGTATTGTTTTTAAATCTTTTTGAGGAAGAACAAACCCAAAAAGTGTAACATGCCTCTGGTATGCAGCCAATTTTCTGGTAATATTTGAAATATTTTTCCTGTATACTTTACAGTAGTGTTGTTTGATCTGTGGTATAAACTGTGAAGTTAGACTTTTTTCCTAGACAATCAAATGATATCAAAATACATTTCAGATCAAATGGGTTTTTTGCATGTTTTTTTCAAGTAGATTAAAAAGAAAATTTTGCTATGTACTTTGCAAATTTGGTGAGGATTTGCAGTGGTTAACCTAACTTCTGTACATCTAGTTTGAAATGTTTCTGAGGTAACGACAATTAAGGGTAAGGAATTAAACTTTCTCTAGGCAGCAATATTTAAAAAAGCTCATCAGCTTGTGGCTTTTATCCAGCGGATAAAGGAAAGTCTAGCTGTGCAGTACTCATGAGGTAACTGGTAAAGCTGCCATCACTGGAAAGGTTGGAGTAGAACTCAGCAACAGTTGTCTTTTGAGGGTTTGGTTTTTATGCCAGTCTTTTTGATGCCAAAAGGTTATCAATGCAACGTGCACATAAAATCTCTGTAGCCTCACTTTGAGACTTCTGCATTGATGTAAAAGATTTTAGACTTCATTTCTTACCGCTTCTACTAAAAGTAGAGATCTCTTGTAGATATTACTCATTATATAAGCATTCCATTCTCCTGTAAAATGAGGTTTTCTGCCCTATGCCCTGCTTTGAGAGAGGGGAGATTAGAGGGATCCACCCCAGTTGTTCAGAAACTTTATATCTACTGAAAGCCTGGAGATGACATCTGAACCTTCATCTCTAGTATTTTAAACATATTTTTAATTTAATCTAGAAAAGTATGGCTACATCTAAGACATATACACATGAAAGTGAGGAGACTTCTGCCAGCATTATTTGGTGCAATAATAATACGTTCTTGACATTTGTCCATTGAGAATCTTTAATTTTGGTATTTGGGGAGATACATGTATAAGTCCTTTTTTTGATCCTTTTGGGATGTTCTTCATCGTATTCTGGCTAGTAAGTGTTTAAAATCCAGTGCTTTTTAGCACTTGGAAAGAAGAACTTTCCCTTTACTTAGAAGCTTTGACTGCTGGAAACAGTTGAGGAAGAAAAGGGGTCTGTTTAGTGTGCTAATCCTAGCCTCCCCGATATGAATAATTCCTTTACTGTTCCTCCTCATCTGCTAGTCAACTCAAAGTCACAGCAGCATTAAATTGACTTAGTTTTTCATACTTTGTGGTCATTTTCAATGGGTAATGAATCCCCTTAATTTTATAAGGCGAAGAGATTTAGAGCATATGTTGGAGGATTATAGCAGTGACTTCTAATCCTTTTTTATTACTATCTCTCTTTTCTCTCTTTCCTTATCTGTAAATTGAAGCAATCTACACAAAATCTTTGGAGTAATGTAAAAATCCCACAAATAAGCTTTTTGGTGCATACCTGTCCTCATTAGTTTCAACTTAATATGGCTAATTCTGCAATTCTGTTTTAAGAGGCAGATCGTATTCTTACAGAAAGGATGTTGAGACAGGCTTACAGACACAAGATTTGAGGGGAGAAGAAAGGGGAGGGAGCTCTCATGGTTAAGTTGTTGGGAGTGAGGGCAAACAAAAAGAGTTACAGTAAAAGAGAAGAGAGATGGAAAAGTATTCCCATCTGGGCAGAGAAGTGGTGGAGTCTCTCAGGTGAATGTCATCTCCTTGGTTTCCTATCCAGTGTAGCATGTGTTCTCCGTAGTAGTTTGTTGGGGTTTTTTTGGTTTTTGGTTTTTTGTTTGTTTTTTTTTTTAATAGCATCTGTATAATTTTCATCAGAGTGTGCTTGATCTCCCTACTGGTTGTTCCCACCTATGATGCTGCTAGTGCTCCTTGGAGCACACTCTGGGCAGGTCAAGTGTTGAACACTGATCAGTTGTTATGGTTTGTGTACGCGTAGTATTGTGGAATGCTTACAAGCATTTACTTGAGTATTACCTACTACATAGTGCCATGTCTTTTTACCCTCTAGTGTAAGGCTATAAAATAGAAGATGCAAAACAAGGAGCAGAAAGCGTGGGGTAGAAGAGAGTAATTTTCATACCAGTGACAATCACTTCCCATGGGAAACCTGATGTACCAGACATAGCAGTGCCTCAGGATTCCCAAGTGCATGGCCGTGAGAATAATGTGTCTGGCAGGAACAGTACGGGTAAAATCACTGCTATAGCCGTCTCCAAGTGCCTAGGTGGAAGGGTGCAAAGTTGTAAGTGAGAGGCCAACTGCACAGGCCCTTTGCATTACAAAGGTCAATATGTTGTGCAACAACGTAATGCTAAGTCCTACAGGTACATAGCTTTCTGGGATCTGATGTACTACTTTGAAATAACGTTTCTTAAGCCTTGTGAATAAGATGATGCTGAATTGCTAAAAATACTTCTTTCAAAATAGGAAATTTCAATTTCAGTTTTATGGTTTTCTGAGTATGCAAGTAGTGGTGGACAGCGATAGCTGTTTTTACTGATAACTGTGTAGCAAGTTTGTCATTCATGTTTTAAATGTAATCCACTATCTATAGGTGCTTCTGGTATCTACATCACTATTTTGCTTATGATGTAGGGCCTGAAAATCCACCAAGGAGATTTAACCATAGTACACAAAAGTAGATCTTAATAGCAGTGCTGAAATGTACAAGCACAATCTTTTTTTGTTTTTAACTGTAATCTTCATGTATGATTACTAGGGCTCTAGCAAAAGACTGTAACAATAAACCTCTTGTTCTGTTTTCTAGCGTGCTCTGAAAGTCTATGTCTCTCTTATATAGGAAGACTTGTGGTAGTGGTCTCTTGAAAAAGTGCTTTTTGTAATTTATACTTTGTACTTACATACTGTACTATTTTTTTTTCCCCTAGTTCATCATTCTTGTTGTTGACAGCATTGATAGAGAGCGACTTTCTATTACAAAAGAAGAACTTTATAGAATGCTGGCTCATGAGGTATGGTGGGGAGTTGGGATAATAGTTTTCTTTTGTTGTGAACAGTCAAATAACATTACATGCTTCCTATGTTAGCAGAAATTACATTGTCACAAAAAAATTTCTGAGCCTAAATGTGCATGCATATTTGTCGCATTTTAAAACCATGTAAACTATAAATAAACCTGAAAGTTGTTATTAAGCAATCTTCTAATAGGGCTTGCTTGATTGTAATCAAATCACTCTTTACTTAGCAAATGTTGAACTTGTAAAATATCTTAAACTTCATATTAATGTAACTGGGTATTATTGTTCTCCACCACTCTCTCTCTTCTTTCAGTTAAATGGTTAAAATTTCAAGAAACTTTTTAAAATTATTTTTATTTTTATATACTTTTTTAGAAAGTAGGCAATTCTGTTTCTCATTCTTGTTTGTTTTAATCTGGTTCCTTAAAATTAAGGAGCATATCTAATACTATGGATAAATTAGTTTCAGTTCAGTTTCCTTCTGAATTTTGTTTGTAATTTTATTATTATATGTTGCATTGAGGACTGTTCAACATTGGGTCAACTCCCTCAAACATCCTAAATCAACATCTACAATGGATTAGCTAAAGTACATTAAAACCTTCTGTGATCACTCTCAAACTAAATTAAGGTTGTTTTAAATCTGAATACCTCCCTTTGTTTTTGAAGGAAAAGGATTTAGTACAATGCAAGTAATTCTGTGAAGTTCATTTCTCTGAGAGATTTGCATTGTTTCAAATGAGTGAGGCTTTTACTTTATAGTTAATATTAAAGTCGTTTCGGACTGGTAGTAAGGAGCAAATACACTACCAAAAAGGTGGAAAGATGACTTTTTGTGGTGAAATTTTCCCATGTAATTTATTAGTTTCCAGTGTTATAAACTCTTACGAAATTGTCATCTACCCTCTCTTGAAAACAGTTGGTAGGCCTAAACTGGACAGTAGTCCAGTAGGAGTGAATTTTCAACATTGGAACATAAAGGTTTGGGGTTTTCTCTCGATAGAGAAATAGTCTCAAAATTTAATATACATTTAAATGTGTTGAACACTCAGTTACAACCGTCAGCTTCCTGAGTGTTGCATTTGTTTACCCTGTGCACAACTAAAACCATACATCCCAGTTCTTGTCTCATTGCTGTGTAAAATCCTAATTTCCATACAGAAACAAAACAAGTTTTTATTAGTTTCTATTTTTACTAAAGCTGCTGCAGCTTTATTAGAGCTCCCTTTTTGGAACAATAGGATAAAACTTACAAGAATTTAGATAGCTTTCTTAAATTGTTACTGCTTTAATCGCTACAGAACTTGTTTAATGAAGTTGAAAGTAATTTCAAGAGAATGATATCTAGCAGGCTTTTCCATTTGAGTAGTATCTAATGTAGATTTTGGAATGTTTATCCAGTAATAATTCTGCTGGATGGATGGTTTGGAGCTTTATGAAATATATTTTGACAAGACTTTCATTAGTTAATATATGAACATGTGGTCAACACCAAAAGGATAGTTATATACATCATAGTTTGATTCTCTGTGGTGGAGAACACTTCTGAATAAATTGGTTTCTTCAGTCTTAATGTAATTAATTTTTAATGTGGTAAGTCTGTTAAAACTCCATGCTGCTGTGTAATTGTAGATTAGCTTAAATACAGTTCTTTTAAGAACTTCAGTTAACGCAATAGCCTTTTAGTTTTTTATAATAACTATTATGAATACTCTAAATTACTTCTAGGATTTACGGAAGGCTGCAGTTCTCATCTTTGCAAACAAGCAGGACATGAAAGGTTGCATGACAGCTGCCGAAATATCTACATACCTCACCCTTAGCTCCATAAAGGATCACCCATGGCACATTCAGTCCTGTTGTGCTTTGACAGGAGAAGGGTAAATGCTTACTGCTTGTACAGTAATATATTGTAAATGAGAATACTGATTTAGAAGCCTATTGACACCAATGTGGATTTCATGAAAGAACATATTTTCTGGTATTTGCAGTCAGAGGGACAGTTTGAATTTTTCCTTTTCTGTATTGAACCTTGTGGATTTTTTTTTCATAGTTTAAACTCCAAATTTGTATGAAAGTCTTTCAGATTATTGTTAAAAAAAAATCAAAACAAAACCCAAACAACACAACTCCCCACACACACACACCCCCCCAAATATGTAGCTGTTGGCATAATTGTTTACTCTCTGTGTGCTACCCTCTCATTCTGTGTGTCTTTGTGTAGTTAAAGAAATAAGCTACTGTCGTCTTCCTTTACATTCTCATCTGCTGTAAGCTTCTAAGATGGGGGGGTTGGGGTGGTTTGGTTTTTTTTTTTTTTGCTTGGTTGGGTTTTTTCATAAGCATTCAAACATAGTTTTGATGAAAAGGTACATAGATCTGGAATAGAACAAAATTGTTACCAATATTAAACCTTTTATTTATATCTGGCTGATGTAGCTAATTTTGAAACTTGTATATAACTTATGCCAGCAATTACTAAAGTGGAAAGCTGAGCTCTCCTTAGATCCTTTGTCTATAAAGATCAAAAAACATTTTTGGATGCCTGTAACAAGTTGGATAGTGTCTTGCTTACATGGTTTGAAGTTTGCTAATTTTTCATCTTGATTCTTAAAGCAGTCTTCTAATGTGTAATAGTGTAATAGTTAGTTTTTTTCAGCTGTGTTGTACAACCTTTACAATAATGTGGCCTTGTGACATCAAAAATAGTGAATCCAACTGAGTGTTTGAGAAGCGAGAGCTTCTTCCTCACTCCTAGCATGAAGTATTTTCTAATGTGATGGAGATGTCTTGTAGAATCATTGGTAGCATTCACTTCCTTAGGGTGGGATGTATTAGTGAAAGCAAACTGTTTTTTTGATTGAGTCTTTGGATTGTATTGTTTCATACTAAGAGTTAACTGCTTTCCTCCTACCAGTTTTGCCAAAGTCACTTTTGAGTATTTTGTTTATATACTTAGATCTTCAAATAAGTTGGCATTTGGAGGAAGGTAGAAATTAACGAATATGACCTTCGGTCTAGAAACATTGGCCATCCTAGGCTGCTTCTTTCTTATTTAAAAAAGATGAGTAATTAGAATACTTAAAACTGTGACAGTAGTAAGACCAACTCATAAAAAAAGTTCCCAGAGTTAGATCGCTGAGCTGAGCGATCTTGGGAAGATCTGACAGAATTCTAGGGAGATTAGCCCCGTGTGTGTGAAGCTAGCCCTCTTGGATAGCTAAGTCATGATATACTTTACAAAGGTAAAGTTTAAAGGTGGCATAAACTAGGTAACTAACTACATCAAAGGAAAGCCTATCTTCTGAAATGGAAAACTTTTAAATAGAGATGCAAATTGAGTGAGTAAGCAGATTCAGTCCCATGCAATCTTGGTGTTGAATATAAACATATTTTTAATTTTATAATGGGATTTTGGAATTCTTGATACACTGCCTTTTTGTGAACCAATTCAGTCTGGGTACCTGTCCTTTGTCTTTTAGTATTAATATGTAAAGGTCTAGCTTTTACGTAAGCAGTCTTTAATGGGAAACCTATAGAAAAAGAAAAACTTATTTGGTTCCATGTACTTATAAGTAAGCATGTTAAGAATAGTGTCTTTTAGATTTATAAGGAAAAAAAATTGAAGGAGTGCCAAGCTCCGATGAAATAGCATGCTTGACCATCTTCTTGTGGTTAAAGCCTAAGTAGACTTAGTTTAAAACACTATTTGCTCTGTTCAAGTTTCAATCCCAATTCCAGCTGATTTTATTTGTTTTAAGTAGATGTTTTTAAACATAAAAACAAGTAGAAAATACTTCAAAAATGTTGGAATAGAACTAGTACCAATATAACATCTTTTATCTTTCAGATTATGCCAAGGCTTGGAGTGGATGACCTCCCGTATTGGAGTGAGATAGCTTCTTTTTTTTTTTTTTTTCCAAAAAAAGGAATTTTTTTTTTTCCCATTTTTGGCAGTGTGTTCTGATTTTGGTTTTTACTTTTTTTTTCCTCCTGCCTGGGGCAGCTGCATGAATAGTCATCCATGACATCTGGACAGCCTCCCGTATTGGAGTGAGATAGCTTTTTTTTTTTTTTTTTTTCCAAAAGAAGAGACTTCTATTTATCCTGTGAACATGTACATTTTTCTGTACTTCTGACTGCTGAGGCAGTGACCATGTTTAATTTATATCAGCCAACTCCCAAGCTGTACTTGAATCAAGTGCAGCTGAACTGAAACACAAAGTATTTTCTTAACTTTTTTTAATACACTAATCTTCAACTGGATGAACATATGTGAATCTGTTTTTAAGCATTGAAATTACTCTGAATATGTATTCTAACTTTTTCGATGATAGCTTTTTAAAATCTGTTTTGTCATTGTCAATATTTCATATTTCCTCTTTCTAAATAGTTTATATAACTTACTAACATAAGTGAGCGCAGTTTGTTTAATAATGAAAAAGTAGTGAGTAGGTTGACTTTACTCTGGCATAGCTTTAGCCTCTAAGGATAACCATATCTCCAGCTGGGCTTCCTTGGAACATCGACAGAGTTCTAGCCAGCACAGGAGCTAATAGTTATGAATGCAAATTTTTAAATGCTGAACGAGTTAGTTATAGTTAATATGGTGGTGGCTTTTAACCTGGTATATAACTGAACTTCTGCCTTAAAAGAAATCTATTTCATTCTCAGTATATCTGGATATGATTCTTTTTCTTTTACTTGAAAATACATCTCTGTACAATGGATAAAAATTCTGTTATTAAGTGCTGGTTTAGTCACTTAGAACTTGAATACCTTTATAAAAATAAACCTCTTGATAATTAAATTTGGAATCATGGCAGCCAGTGTTATGTGTAGACTTGCTGTAATCTGTTAAAATTTTAAATACTGTATACATGAGCCTTCCTCACCTTTTAGTGAGAGTGCTGTTTTCTAAATGAATGCAAAATCAAAAGGGAAGCCAGATTTATAAATAGAACAAAATCATGGTGCTGTATTTGTAGACTTCAGAGTGAAGCTAATCTTGACATTTATTTACCTATTATCAAATATGTTTTCAGATTCTGTTGCAGAGAAAATATTTTGCCTTAATTTTTGTTTTTAGTCTTATTTGCAGGAGCAGAGAACTTTTGATGGTGTTCGAATTAGATTCATGCACCTGAAATTTAGGAACTGAAAGTTGAAAAAGTAGAGAGCTTCCATTTGAAAAACAGGTGTTGAAAGATTGGACCTAGTAACTCTTAATTCAATTTGAAGGGGATGAAGTTAGATCTGTAAAGAGAATCTAAAGCTATGGATGAAGTTAATTCAGAACATTAGACACCAAAACCAAAAAAAATCCAACCACCACACTTCCCAAAAAACCTCTGAGAAAAAAATAAAAAAGAAAACAAAACCAATAGTGGATATGCAATTCCTACTGAAATCCCAGCAGCCATCAAGTATCTAACCTCCATAAATGCTTGACAGGCTTTCCAAAAGCACCATTCTGCACTTTTGCATGCCTAAAACCCATGTGGAGTCTGGTTCCTAGAATCATGCGAACTGACTGGAGTTCTTTAATGACAAAATATTTTTGATGAATCTTGGTTTGATAATTCAAGCACACTGAGTTTTCTTTAATAAAATTTTAAGTTTTGTAAATTTCAATTTGATTCCATTTTTATTTGAACAAAGCTTAATGAAATTTTAAAAGTATCAGCAAATATGTTGTCGTAAGTGTTAAAAAGAAGACTTTGAATACATGTGGAAATCAGTGATTGGTTGAATAAAGTTATGTATTAATGCTGGTTAGCAAAAGTCACATTTAGGAGAAAGACTATGTTGAGTGTCAAGTCAAAATGCTCAGAAAATAATTTACATCAGTGAAAAGTAATGCTTAAAGAAAAAAGAGGAATGCAAGGCAAGGTTAAAGTCTGAGACTAAAGCTTCTTGCTCCAATGTTCATGTTAACAACTGTTCTAATGTGTGAAAATAAGATTTGTTTTGTTCTTAGGGAAGCAAATTACAAATGAAAAAATAAAATGATACTCTGAATGAGGTTTCTTGTTTGGTGACTTAATCATTTCAGTTTGCAATTTAGATTTATTTTCAGGTTTATTTTTATGTAATTCAGAATGTAGTCCTGATTATTTATAAAAAGCGCTACCTGGATGTATAGCCCTTTGATTGTGTTTTTAAAAAAAAAAAGCGTGAGTTTATATTTAACACTTTCTAGGTAAAACTATTCATAAATATATACTTTGATTACTAAATCCAGTCTCACCTGAGGTAATACATCTAACTTAGGAGGAAATGGTCCTGTTGTAGATCTTAGAATATCAGAATAATGAAAGTTTTCTTTTAATTCCTTGACACTTAAGACCTTTGAGTACCTTTTCAGAAGGAAACATTCTTGAAAATAGCCATGATTTTGATCGCCTTACTACTTCATTTTCTACAACAGTTTTCCATTTATGATATCGGTTTGTTCACAGCATTTATGCTGTGGTTTGTTTTTTTGAAAAAGGTTTGGTGTGGAGTTTTGGGGGGTTTATTTTTAATCACCATCAGAGCCTGTTAAACTAAATGTAGGTTGATTAAAAGAATTTTTACAATGGGGTGCTTTAGAACACTGCATGTGTCTTTGCACTGCCAAACATTGCATTATTTTTGTTACTCTGTATGTAGTAAATATATTTCAGGTAGCTTTTGCACTTCAAAATATTTTGCATTTAATATACTGTTCACAAGAACACTGTTAATCAGCTTCTCAGAGGAAATTACAAATATAAGGAAACATTTAAAAACATTCTCAAGTAAAATATCACAAAGATTTTTCTCCTAAATAATCCATTTTACACAAAATACAGGATATTGTAATAAAGTAATTGATATGCATGTTATAGTCTAATTTATAAAATCAGAGCCATTGTGTTAAAATAATGCATAATATTATGAGAGAAATAGTTCTGATTTGTTAAGCAGCCTCCATGAGCATGCACCTTTGAGCAATTTTTGTCATGCTTGGATGAGGCTGGCATATTTACATGTATATTTACATGCTGTTACCTAGACATGATGCATCTCTCGCATAGGAGTACACCTCCTGAAACACTCAATAAAGTTGCCTTCCTGAAACTGTACTTTTTATCACATTTAAAAAACAAACCCAGAAACCTCACGTGCATGTTGGCTTTAGTTTAAGTTAATGGAAAGATAAACATATGTTAAATGAAGAGAAAACTTTGTAGATACTAGCCAACGAATTACAGAAGTTCTGAACTACCTAAAATTCTGTAAGACTACACAAATGTCACTGTAAACAGTCAAATTGACATAAAATTGGTTTGTTTTCAGAAAACTAAAGCTGGAACGTGTCAGTGTTCATAGGCACAAAAGTTCTCAGTGTGGCTGAATGGGACTTCTTTATAATTTCCTTCATTAAGTGCAATGTTCAATCTGTTTGAGAAGTCCTGAATATGTATCGTAGGTTCTTCTCACTGTTCATGAATATGGTCATGGCAGTTTGCCTGAAGGGTGTACCTTATCTTGGTCTGTACTCACCACTGGAGGTCAGGCGTAGGAAACAAGCTGTCTTGATTTCTTGATGGCTTCATGGTGCTTTACTATCTTTCCATCCTGTCTCTAATTTGAGCCCTTGCCACCCCCCTCACCCCCCCCAAGGTATGTTTGCCTTGTACTGTCTTGTCTAAAGATGCTGACAAAGTCACATGAGGTACTGTACAAAAAAAAAAAAAACAAAACAGGAAAAACCAGAGGGTCACTTTTAAAAATATCACTCTGTTTCAACTATGTCTAACCGAAAGAACGTGTCAGTGTTCATAGGCACAAAAGTTCTCAGTGTGGCTGAATGGGACTTCTTTATAATTTCCTTCATTAAGTGCAATGTTCAATCTGTTTGAGAAGTCCTGAATATGTATCGTAGGTTCTTCTCACTGTTCATGAATATGGTCATGGCAGTTTGCCTGAAGGGTGTACCTTATCTTGGTCTGTACTCACCACTGGAGGTCAGGCGTAGGAAACAAGCTGTCTTGATTTCTTGATGGCTTCATGGTGCTTTACTATCTTTCCATCCTGTCTCTAATTTGAGCCCTTGCCACCCCCCTCACCCCCCCCAAGGTATGTTTGCCTTGTACTGTCTTGTCTAAAGATGCTGACAAAGTCACATGAGGTACTGTACAAAAAAAAAAAAAACAAAACAGGTGGTCATACACTATAGATTTTACCAAGTAAGCTGCATTTTCCTCATAGAGCTGTCTTGCTAAATCCAATCTCATTTCACTGTTACCTCCCCTTTTTTTTATTTTTAAAATTGCTGAAGTACCTTCTCTGTTTGTCTGTGTTCATGTTTACCCTCTAGCCCTGAGCAGTCTCCATTTCCGAGACATTGCTGGCATCTTATCTGGGGATCTAGAGAGTCCCCTAGCTGGATGTTCTACAAACCCTGGATGACAGTTTCTGGTACAGGGGAGCAGATTTCCTGAAGTTTAGCCAGGCAGGCTGTACTTACACTTGGGATCCACATCACAGCTTCCTCCAATACCTGTGGGCACCAGCAGTTTTGTAGTTTTAATCTCTGCAAGTTCTTCTGTGTCAGATTTAAGGCTTGCTATTGACCACTGGAATTTTTCTTCAGAAATATGTGCTATTATCCTGATCTTGCAGGAGACTTTCTTTTTTTTTTTTTCCCTGTGAATAACAAATTCCATAAGTATAATATCTAGAGAGTTTTTTTCTTCAGCAGCAGTGTTGGTCTAGTGTCAAACTTCTGTTTGTGCTGTGCAAGCATATACTATGTTCCATTCAAGAAATTAAGGTGTCTTATACAGATTTATATTATACTGCTGTAAATGGGTTGGCACGTGGCTTTTTATTTGTTTGTTTTTTGGAATTTCTTGCCTAGGTGGTAAAGACCTTCAGTACCC